AAATTAGTCTCAATAATGTTTATCTTGAGTGTTATTTATTTTAGATTATACGTTTTTACATTTAATAAAAAGTTACAATTTTAATATTGTATTATTAGGGCGCTAGAAAAGTCAAGAGTTATATCGATATCGTCTTGTTTATTAATACTTATTACCATTATTTTCCATACATTACTATGTAAGTGTAACTTGAATTTTCTTTACTTTGAATTATGATACAAAATATAGACAATATAATACAAAACAAGATAATTTCGACTTAAGACTATGACAAAATTTATTTAAAAAATTTTTTTGAAATACACTAAACTATTATCTTTTTTATTTGGTTAATGTGCTGTTGTGTAGCCTAATCTACTTATTGTGCAGAATGTTTTAAAACTTACGTATGAAAAAAATCATTATAGTGCCATGTAATAAAACTTATTTAAAAACTAGTAACTGGCCTGATGGACTCCTGAATTAATTATTTTAGTGGAGGCTTTTACTTTGCTTGAAAATTATTATAAAATTGTAATATAGTTGATTACTCCTAAGTATTCATCAACATAAAGAAATTATAAAGTTTACTGATTATCTTGATTATGTTAACTGACTAACAGAGTCTGCCGATTATTAGTTTTTTTTTTTAGACTGTATTTAGAAAATCACATGACGAAATTTGGGACATCAAAAATTTCGCTACGTAGTGCCAATAGTATATATCTTGTTAATAACTGTTATAAATAAAAAAGTTTTTAAACCAATGAGAGAGTGCAAACATTTATTTTAAAGGTTTATGGTATACATGTATTGTTGTATAGTTTTTCCACTTTTTTTTAACAAGTACCCTTATCAGTAAAATTGAAAATCCTCAATCAAAGATTTAATCTCAGATACCTTAACTATTGTATATTTTTTGTTCTTAAGATTAGTCAAATGATGCACTTTTTTCTATTAATAAATCTATTTCACAATAAAAATACTTATTCTATTTGAAGTTAGAAATGTGTTTCATTTATGAGCAATATTATTTTAAATAATCGAAGACAGCATGTACACATTACTTGCACTCAAACGAAACATTTCTTATAATTAGATTAGAAAAAAACTGTTATAGAGTATTTTTTATGTCATATTTCATCATTAATTCTTTAATATATTTCAATAGTTATTATACTAAAGAATAAAATTATGTTAGAATAGTACTTAGTTCACTAACATACTTAAAGGTGTAGATTACATTGCACTTTTTACATTAAATTTATTGGGAGGTTGAGAATTTATTCCCATACTTTGAATAACCGATGAATAAGAAGTTACTCTTACTGTTCTATTACAAAATAAAACTCTCTGGTAAGGCAGTACCGCTAAAAACTTAGTTTGCATGAGAATAATTAATTTTACTATTTTAGGAGGCTCAGTGCTACAAACATACCTATTAACCTCCTTCTCCTTTAATTTAGGACTGTTTGTCTATTATAATTTCCATGTTTTAATAAATAGTATGCAAGTTTTCTCATAGAGGCAAATCGAGACAAGATTTCTTACTTTCTAATCATGGATGTAAATTCAAAATTTTTAGGCTGCCATGGACTTAAGCCTCAACTGTATCCTAATGTGACTGAGTTAGAAATTAATGAAGGAGAACCCCTAAACATTACGTGCACAAGCAATAGCTATGTTAATTTTTATTTCCCTACCAGTGACGAAAGGGGAAGGGTAAGTTAAATGACTCTGCCATTTCATATTTGATGGGTTTAAAAAAAAAATACTTCAACAAATAATAACCACTAATTTTTGCATTTAAAAAAAAAGACCACCTCTCAGCCTCTTATAACACCAGAAATCAGGAGTACCCACAAGACATTCATAAGATTATCAACCGTTTTTGGAGATACTGGTTGGTATGGTTGTGCTGATGAAAGCAAACAAATAACAAGTTTGACGTACAAAAACTACAGCGACCTAAGTATCAGTTGGGTGTACGTTTATGTAAAATGTAAGAGTATTCCGCACTTTGGATTTATCTTTTTGCGAACTAAATTTTATTGAAAAACTTAAATAATACTAAATATAACGCTTGTTGAAAAATGGTTTATTTCCACGTTTAGCCAATAGAAGTTCATTCGCACATATAAATAAGGATGATAATTATTATTTACCGGCTTCAGGATGTTCTAAACACCTTATCTTACCATGTCAAACGACATCCCCTGAATTTAAAGTGACTCTTCGAAGAAATGGACATGTAAAACATTCTTTACGCATGATTCAAACTTATATAGAAAACGACGCAAACTCTTTAATATTTTTAATTTTCTTAGGTTTTTGGACTAAGCGAAAAGATCACTTTTGACTCCAAAACTGGTTTTGTCATTAAAGAAGCAAATTGGGGTACGGATAGTGTATATACTTGTACTGTTGAAAATAAAAACTTTTCACATGCAATAAAAATAAAAGCTCAGAGTACTACCTCCTCTCCATGTATGAGTATCTTAAGAATAGACGGTGCAAAATCCGTCTCCGTAAATTCCAGACTAAGTATCAAATGTTCAGCTGAAGTTAGAAAAGAAGCCCTTTACACTATTTCGTGGAAGATTCCACACAACGTGGTAAATGTAACACAACTACAACTTAATATGCAGTTTTGTTTTATGTCCTAAAATATAAATAATTAGATATTTTTTAAATATGGTGCTAAACTAATAAAAAACATGTACTTATAAGACTTCCAGAAAAATTATAAATACCGTTCGAGTAGAAGAAAAAGGATTTTATAATTTAGTCAATCTTATAACGTCTGAGCTTATTATTAACAATGTTACTCACGATAATAGAGGTAACTACACTTGTAAAATAAGATCTTCGTTTGATGAAGAAGAGAGTCTTGATACTCACGTTTGCGTGTTTGGTGAGTGATTGATAAATTTTTTTTCGTTTATTAATATTGTTATCATTAGAATTATTATCTTTTCTTCACAGTACTACGTAAAAAATGAAACTCTGTAAATTTAATTTTGTAGATACTAATAAACCATACATCAATCTGACATCTGATAATCTGAATATACACTCGGATGATGGTAAATCAGTGACTTTTTTGGCTCTTGTTGATGCATGCCCAATACCAACTTTGAAGTGGTAATATTTTCGTTTATACTGCTTTGGTATACGTAAGTTTATTAATTTTTTTTAGTATTAAAAAATCATTTACATTCCAGGACTCACCCTGGTGGTTATACAATTCATCCCTACTGGAGAAACTTAAGAATGTCCAATTATGGAACGATGAGCAAATTGACTCTATTAAACATCGATAAAGATGACACGGGATTTTTTACGCTTACAGCTAAACATGATAAAATAGAAAAGGATTTGAAATTTTATCTTGACGTTTATGGTACATAAATATGTTTGATTCTCGCGTGACATAAATATTTTGAACGGAACGAGACTGAAAATTAAAAAAGATTAGAAAGTCAATTATTCAATACAGTTTTATCATGCAGTTTTGAGTATTTTGAGATTAAAATTATCAAAAAATGGAAGCAGTCTGTGGGCAGTCGTGAAATTGTTATTTATTCTTTAGACTTGCTGCACCTGAATAACGATGATCTTAGACTAGTTTTGAGTTTTAGGAAGTTAACAATTTTTTATTTTACAATATATTCTCTTATTGCAAGGGAAAAAACGTTGCAACTCATAAAGACCTGTTACAATGTGATTATTTTTACTTACATAATGGTATTTAAATACTGCAATTTCAGTAATAAGAAAATATGCCTTATAGACTTTTACAATTTAAAAAAAATTGGCACTTCCTAATTGTAGATTAGTGGGCTTGATAGAAACTATGTTTGTAATTGTGTATTGAACTTATGTGTATATTTTTATATCAATGAAAGTTGCCACCATCTACTTTTATAATTAGTATTCCACATTAGAAATATAATTTAAATTTAGACTAGCTTTTTTTGCATCATTTACAGAAAGAGACGAAAAAGATTTATCAAGCCCATACGTCCAAAACTAAGTAGCCCATTCAACAAAAAAATAATCCATAAGACATTCAAAAAAATAATGGACTGCAATTATACAATTTTGGAATAAACAAAGTACCAAATAGAATAACTTTGGATTTAGGCTTCAATATAGTAGATTTAATTAATATTAGTCGATATCTACTTGATTGGGCTCAAAATTTGTACTTTTAATCTACCAATTTAGATAAAATGGTTTTGTTTTTGTAACCATTATGACTATAAAACTCTCTGAAATTGAAAAATGACATTTAAAGTTTCTAACATCTTCCTGTCAAATGGCCGACTCTACTTTTAAATTGTAAAGCTTATACATAAAGCGCGTTTGTACTCAGTAAAGTAAAAAAGTTTAAATTTGTCGGTAGACATGTGGCTAAATCTTTGTGAATTTTTTTTTTTTTTTTTTTTTTATTATCTTGCAGTTCTAAATACTTATGCTGCTTTTTGTTATGGAATTCCATGTCAAGCATTCGATTTTTTTTTCTTGCAGGTAAGCCAACGGTCAGATTTGACAAAACTTACCTCACATCTTACTACAGTTTTAATAAAACTGCCAAGTTTGTTTGCCTTGTCGATCGTCATCCTAAGTCGAATATATCCTGGACCAAAATTAACTATTGGACGAAAACGGAGACACTTGACCTAACAGAACATAACTTACAGGTATGTTAGTTACTATAAAAAATAATTTGTTCATCTGCATTCGTACGTTTAGATTATTATATGAATGTAACTATAGAAATAACATTTTCTGAATATTGACTTATTTTTTTAGGGAATAGAAACAGATGTGCAAAATAGCAATTTCAAACAAAAGTCAACGGTAGAACTAAAACAGCTAGTAACATCTGGTGTAATAACATGCACGGCTTGCAATAGCTATGGCTGTGCCTCTACGTCAAAGGAAATTCGCATAGCAGGTACATAAATCTAAATGATAGTGTTTAACTTTAACTTTTATAAATATCTTATTTTTGGTCGTAAGTTACTGTTGCGTGAACAATTTTTTTTTTTCAGATAAAGTAAATAAACCATATTTTGGAATCGTACAACCAAATAGAAGTTTTCATAAAGGTGACAATATTTCTCTAATATGTGCTGTTTTGACTCATTCTTTCTCCAAAGTCGTATGGTATGATGAAAACGGTCAGGTGGTACATACTTCCGGTCAGTTTTAGTTTTATTTTTTAAGTGTCGTGGATAAAATTTTTCAATATAGTTTGACCAATCATACATATTTTTCTAAATGTTTAGAAAGGATAAACGTTACAACGAAGGTAACTAGATTCATATATCAAGCCATTCTTACAATCAATAACGCCAGTGTATCAGATAGAAAGAATTATTATTGCAAAAGAATAGAAAGATACAATAGATTTGTTGGATATCCTTCGCGCAAAATACCTACAAAATCATACTTTCTCAACATCAATGGTAAGAACGAAATTGGTTATAGGAATAGTTACGATGCAGATTATCTGTTACACTTATACATATCACTTCATTGATGGTAATTTTTGTCGTATAGATCCACCTTCTTTTACACTTGTAAATATGAACGCTACAAAAAGAACAGTGATGGCAAAGGATTTTGAGAATCCCCTGACATTATTATGCCACGTTGGAGGGATTCCAACCCCTAAGATTACGTGGTCAAAAAACAATGTACCTCTGAAGATGTCATCACAGTATACTTTCGAGGACAACAATCAAAAATTAACTATAAGATACTTTTTTGAAAAAGATTCTGGAAATTATTCATGCCATGCTAAGAACGATTACGGAACAGTGGAAAAATCACAAATCATTGTTGTGAAAGGTAACAAAAATCATTGCCAACAGTAATGACGCACTCCTTTAATTCCTTTTTTATTTTTCGAAAACAAACTTTAACGAATAAAATTAGTCTGTACTATACAAAAGTACAGTATATTTTATACTTGATTATATTATCTAAAACTATGTAAGGCATTATTGACTTCTTAAGAATAAAGTANATTTTTTTTTATTATAGTTTTTGTTGAAACTAAATGGTACATTACGTCACTAGGGCATCAATTATAAACATATGAGTACTCGAAGGGAGCGGTCGTTGTATGTTGGTGCCCCAGTCGTATATTTTGTTGTCCTTATCGAGGGTGCAAAGTGCAATTTTGCGCCCATGGGCACATTTTTGGCCCTAGTCAGAGAAGTGCTTAGGCCCAGAGGGTGCAAAAAACTTTTTGCCGTAAGGTCCAAAGTGGTAACGAGGGCGTAAAGTGTGGCCCGAGGGCACACCGCGGCAGGTGCACTTTGGGCCTATGGTAACTAGTATGGGCCCGCTTTTAACAAAAGCTTATAGTACATTTTCAAAAACCTTACAGATCATGTATGTTTTTCTTACATTACTTCTTAAGAACATACGTACAAAATTATACAACTAAGTATAGCGTATAAAAAATTTGCGCTACCCTCTGAAGATACCTCAATTGTTTAAACTATTAGATAAGTTTGATTAGTCACATATTTCTAAACAAAGCTAAAATTATAACTAAAGGGATCTGTGGTTAATGGAGAACCTAACTTCTCCATTTACTTTTAAATCTAAATTAAGTGCAATCCGATACAATCTTAATAGTAGCTATGTAAACTTTTTTCAAATTCGTAATGATTAGAAAAATCTTTCGTAATGCTGTAAGAAAAAGCATTTTTAAACATTAGTAATTTAGAAGGTATACTGTTTGATGAAATATTGTAATTAAGTACATTCTTCCGTTTGAAAATTATTATGAAATCATGTCGTAGTTGCTCATACTCACGCAGTTATCAACAAAGAATTGTCATTTGATTTACAGCTTATCTTGATTAGATTGGCTAACTTTTGGTGTGTACAAAAAATGGTTTTTTTTTAATTCTTCCAANTAATCAGCAACAGAGAAGAGTTTGATTAACAAAAATCCATGTCATGCCGAGCAGTCAACTATAAATACACTCGACAAATTTTTTAAATAGTAAAGCTCATAAGGTCATGCTTTCTCTATACTAGAAAACAAGATGGGTGTAATAAGCCTGCACCTATAGAAGCATATATAATGCATTTGATGTTATTTTTCGTGGCCCAAATAAAAAGATATAAAGACTCTGTAGTATTAAAAAAGGTTGTAAATAATTTCTGCAAAAACATCGATTGTTCAATGCAAAAGTTGGTAACTTCATGACCTACTTACTCTAGGGGCTTAACATCATGTATTCGAAAATTTTATTGCTTTTTGTACTATTTTACAGAGAAGTAAAAAACAACCCTTTTAAAGAACATGATTTTAACTAGTTCTCTGAATTTATGTAATCAAAGTCGGGTACTTTAGTTATAGTATCTGTCTGCATGTATTTATTTGCATGTGAGTATGCATTCAATTAGTTATATCCTAAGATTTCCATAACGAATAATTATTTCTGTTTGGTTACCAGTTCCTTAGAAATTAAGTTTTGTGTTATTTTTTTCTGCTCTTATGTTGACTTGCCAACTTTCCAAAAACCAATTTTTTTGTTCAATGGTACGTAACGATAGAAACTCTGAGAGATCAAAAAACTTGCCATAAAGTCTTACACAAAAAAGAATTCATTCACTTACATTTAAAAAAAAATTCTGTTTTTCGGAGTGTGTACTTCAGTTAATATATGTACAAAAAATGTATTTGTAGTTTGGAGTCCCCACGTGAATAAGATCAGAATTTTTTTGTGTAAAATGTAATAACGTAGAAAATGAGAAAAAAGAATGTACATTTGAGTGGATGTAAATAGTATCTACAGAATTCTATCAACAGGAGTTGTATACTAATAGCAACTCAATTATTATAACTGGGCTTTTTCAACCTATGACCTTAAAGTATTTCAAATTTCGTGCATAAGAGAAATTTACCGTTCGATACACTTACTTAATTAATTAACTCTTATCAAGATCATGGAAATTATACAAATGTATGAGTTTTTAGCTGACGAACATCAGGTGACGACTATTATATACACAGACGTACTGTTACTCTCATTTCGCGAAATAAGTACATGATTGCTAACTTTGCACTCTAAATGATTTGCTAACTCATTTACTGACATGGTAAGACATATAAAATTAACCCTAGATGGTGTACCTCTCGAGGGAAAAGTGCCTTAATTTATAACGCAGTGCTGATAAAAAGAAAACAATAATAATAACAAAAAACTAAAATAAAATGTATAAAACAATACATGCATTGAAACCGTCTCAGTTGGTTTAAAAATTTTGAATAACCATGGAACTCTTTAGAAGACATAAATTTTTTATAAGATAACCATATATTTTTTCTAGATAAACATACTTGCTATTTGCTTTTAAAGTTCAAGTTATTAAGAGGTCAAATATTTTTAATATTTGTTACAGTAATACCATCAAACACGTTTATATAAGATGGACTTGCAATTTTGGGTAAAGTGTTTACGTAGTTAGGCTGGCTCGGTCGAATTATTATATCGTCTAATGATGATGAAGTTAGGTTTTCTTTTTTTTTTTTTCTAACTGTCGTTCCCTATTCCAATTTTCATACGTATGATAGAGTTTTAGAAACTGTATTTTGATATCAACTTGGAAAAGATTTTTAATACTTCCAACCAGCTTTGTAAAAGACGGTTTTGATGTTGGCTTTTCCTTCCAGCAATCGAGCATAATATTGTATCTAAAAAAAGATAAGCAATGTAAAGTGACAGTTTTATGGAAATGGACTTTTCACTAAAACATTTATTTACATGTCATCCGTGGCATAAGTAGGCTGAGCCATTCTGTATCCCCTGACTAATTTCTGATACATTACTTCGAACCCTACACCTGCGTAAGGTATTTCTGCAAGAGTGAAAAGTTCCTATAGAACTACACCAAATGACCACACATCTGACATAATTGAAAAGACTCCATCCCTAATGGACTCAATGGCCATCCACTTTACAGGCAACTTGCCAACGCATCGCTTTTTATAGTTTTCGTCTTTGTACAATGTCTTTGCCAGACCAAAATCGCATATCTTAATTATGTTATTTTCTGCCAATAATATATTTCTCGCGGCTAAGTCACAATGTAACACCTAAAAATGAAACGAGTAGCAAACACCTAAAGCTAGTTAATATTAAGTTAAAATCAAGTAACATGAAAAATTGTATACAGATAGGTGCTTGCCTTTCTTTGAGAATGGTACTCCATACCGTTTGCTACTTGGTAAGCCCATAAAAAAAGATCCTCAGTGCAGAGAAACGCAACATCTTCATTCGCGTAGTCCCCTTTGTAATTAGAACGCCAACCTAGCTGGGAATCATCGTCGTCAAAATCATCACTAAATTCCATTGGGTCAACAAATGTCCGATCCTCTGAGCAGTAAATGCTGGTCTCATTGCTTGGACTGCTGCCGCTCAAAACCACACTGAAATCATTAAATATCTTGTATTTTGTCCTATTGGCCAAAAAAATTAAACTTATTTGTTATGTCTATGAGATTTACGATTTATATGGATACAAGAAAATTTTGACTAATTTTGATTTAGTAGAAGTTTTTTTTATGTAGATGTAAAAACTTAATTCTTTCTGTACAAACCCTGTAGCCAAATTACTAAGTGCTTTGTCGATAAAAATCTGAATGGACGAACGGTAACATTAATTCAAACTTAGACCAAAATTAGTATATGGACTTTAAATACTTGAATAAGTATTCAAGATAAGTATTAATTAACGCATGTATGTCCTTGAAACCAATAATCCTACTAATATTCTGTTTTACAAACTATGCTATCATCAACAGTTTAAACTCTTTCAAGTAGTACAACTGGAGTTGTGATTACGAGTCAAGTCGTACATTTAAAGGAATAACAATCTTAAGATGGAAAACAGTTTTTTTGAATACAAAATGTTCGTCGTACTGAAGACAACGTTTTTGAATTTCAATTCCATCGCTCCTTGATCCTAATATACAACTTAAAGACATTTTTTAAAATTTAATTATATAATGTATTTAAATCGTTGTATACAAAATTTAATATTAATAGCGATGACTCATGACTCATAATTTAAAGACATAAAGTATAATGATAACGTTATGGATGAAAACTTTTCATGTCCTTTGCTCTATTCTTCTCTAGATGCAAACTGTTAGAATTTACATTTTATATGGTGTACAAAACACGATCTTATTTTGTGCGCGTATGTGTGTGTTGAGAAAGAGAGTGCGCACTTACTATTGTATACAGTAGCGCTCATATGATTAGTCCCGAATGTTCGCTTGATCTATACACGTCGCTGATGTTAATTTGTACTCTATATATATACGTAATAAATAAAAGTTTGTTTCATTCGCACTTAATGTATTTCATTGTAGACACCTGTACTCCATGCACATCCCTGCTCCTCATCTATTATTAGAAACTACAGGTTATTGCCCCAGGGTGGCATCTAGTGCGTGAGAGAATAGTTGGTGATCGAAAAGACTTTGAAAAGCTCTACGGCGCTATTCGCATGTTAAACGTTTAGAGCGAAGTGCGTGAATATTTAAGATGGCCTTCAGCAATCTCAACAAGATTGAACCTTTCCGTAAGGATAACTACGACACTTGGAGAATTTAGGTAGAGGCTCTGCTAATCAAAGGCGATTGCTGGGAATACGTCAATGGATCAAAGAAGAGAAAAATCATTACAAGTATATCTAGTCAGGATGATCGAACTGAAGCAGACGCGTGGGACGCAGCAGATGTCAAAGCGCGAACCAAGCTAATGTTAGCGATTGCCCCTTCAGAGCTGAAACAAATAAAATCCTGCAAGACATCATATGCGGTATGGATGAAGCTCGAGAGCAT